GAGAATCAAGAAGTTGGACGTCCACTCAGAGACCTAATTTGAAAGTCAGTAATTACAAAGACGACAGGTGGATAAATTTACAATGATGGGAAGATACCAGCGTAAAAAGGCTGAGAATACCCAAAATCAGAATGCCTCTCCCTCTACAGGGGATCACAGTTCCTCATCAACAAGGGAACAAGGCCTGATGGAGAACGAGTGCGTTCCATTGCAGATTTAGGCTTCAGAAGGTGGATAATAAGAAATTTCTGTGAGTTAAAAGAACATGTTCTAGCCCAATGTAAAGAAACTAAGAACCTTGAAAAAAGTTTTGATGAAATCCTAACGAGAATAGACAATCTAGAGAGGAATATAAGTGAATTAATGGAACTGAAGAATACAATACAAGAACGCCTCAAAGTATGCACAGGTTTTAACAGTCGAATTGATCAAGGAGAAGAAAGGATATCAGAGGTCAAAGACCAACTTAATGAAATGAAATGAGAAGACAAGATTAGAGAAGAAAGAGCAAAAAGGAGTGAGCGAAGTCTCCAAGAAATATGGGACTATGTGAAAAGACCTAATTTACGTCTGATATGTGTACCTGAATGTCATAAAGAGAATGAATCCAAGCTGGAAAACATTCTTCAGGATATTATTCAGGAAAACTTTCCTAACCTAGTGAGGCAGGAAAATACCCAACTTCAGGTAATACAGAGAACATCACAAAGATATTCCTCAAGTAGAGCAACCCCAAGACACATAATCTAGGCAGTCTTATGGAGCTCAGGGACTACGGGCTCACAGGTAGGGCACCACTTCTCCACATAGTGCTCCCTCTAAAGCCTGGGAAACCTTGCACCCTCAAGCACTCTGGGAGACTGGGGTCAAGGGTGCAGTGACATTCTTTACCTTTAATGTCTTTATTAGTACAGAAAACAGATACTGGTTTATCACAATACCAAAATAAATTGGAATTGCTGCCGACTGCTTCTAACACTGTTTATTAAAAGAGTATTTAGTTATTCCCTACTCAAAATGATTGATAACACAAATTATTTCCACCATCACTTTATCTTTTTTAATGTTTCATGGGATAATTTAACACCTAACAAAATCCAATCCTTGCATTAAGGATTTTTCTTATCTGGCTAGGTTATAGTTAGATTGGGAAAACATATTTGTATTTCATCAACAGCTTTATTCTTTATTTTTTTCTCAAGACAAGAGTCTTGCTCTGTTGCCCAAGCTGGAGTGCAATGGCACGATCTTGGCTCACTGCAAACTCCATCTCCTGGGTTCAAGCAATTCTCCTGCCTCAGCCTCCCCAGTAGCTGGGATCATAGGCGCACACCACCACGCCCGGTTAATTTTTTGTATTTTTAGTAGAGATGGGGTCTCAAACTCCTGAACTCATGATCCGCCCGCCTCAGCTTCCCAAAGTGCTGGGATTACAGTTGTGAGCCACCACGCCTGGCCTTTCAACAGCTTATTTTAAGGTGATTTTATCTGTTTAATCCTCAGCTTTGTTCCAAAGAGGGGAAGGTGGTGATAGTTTCTTGCCCACTGATGTGTGCCAGACAGAGTGCCCGGCACGGGTGCAGAGGTGAATCAGATGACAGCTCCCTCTCACCATGTGGGGTGGCTGAAAATGTGACTGGACTATAGGCAATCCTGGCCTTGGCAGGTGAGACCAGGTGTTGTATTGAGGGAGGGCTTCCCTAGCTCATCTTCTGGTCACCTCCACAGGTGAGCTCTACTGTGGCCTGGAGGAAACTGTGATCCATAGAGGGCATGTGGGGCCTGGTCCCCTCATTTTAGCTCAGCTTCTAGGACAGAGAGACCCGCTCCCTGCAGCTTCACAGCTATTCTGAAGGGTTGGGATAAAAAGAGAAGATGGACGCCAGGCATGGTGGCTCACGCCTGTAATCCCAGCACTTTGGGAGGCTGAGGTGGGTTGATCACCTGAGGTCAGGAGTTCGAGACCAGCCTGGCCAACATGGTGAAACCTCATTTCTACTAAAAATACAAAAAATTAGCCACATGTGGTGGCAGGCATCTGTAATCCCAGCTGCTCGGGAGGCTGGGGCAAGATAATTGCTTGAACCTGGGAGGCGGAGGTTGCAGTGAGCTGAGACCACACCATTGCATTCCAGCCTGGGCAACAAGAGTGAAACTCCATCTCAAAAAAAAAAAAAGAGGAGATGGGAGAAAGAATCAATGGGAAAGACCGGAATGTGGAGAATGTTGCCAAATGCCAATTTATTACCTTAATTTCCTGACCAGATTTGACCGTTTGATGTCTGTAGCTCTCCTCCCACTCACACACGTGCTGGTGGCCTTCCTAGAAGGGAAATAGGAGGGCCTCGAGGTCCCTGGTCCTAAGGGATGTCATTCTAAGCATGTTTTAGACTGGAAGGTTAATCTTTTTCCTTCTTGTGCCCTCCACACCCCTTCAGAAAAGTTTGCACTCTCTCTGAACCCTGCAGCATGTTTTCAGAGGCTGTTAGTTGCCAGATTCTGCGGTGAGCTGTGGATGGGAGGGAATTCAATAGTGGGTGGGTGTGGAGATAGAAAGGGAGCAGGAGTGTGACTCTGCCTTCCCTGTTGTACAATCATATAGTGATGTGATAAAACCAAGGGAGAAACAGTTCCTCTCACCCATGCTCTCCTTGAGGCTCTCCCTCTGATGTAAGCTCTAAGTACTGCTCCTTTTACTGGAGTTCAATTCCTGACTAAAGAAAGTGTACTTATGGGCTGGGCCTGGTGGCTTATGCCTGTACACCTAGCACTTTGGGAGGCTGAGGCAGGCAGATTACCTGAGGTTGGAAGTTCAAGACCAGCTTGGCCAACATGGTGAAACCCCATCTCTACTAAAAATACAAAAAATTAGCCAGGCACGATGGCTCATGCCTGTAATCCCAGCACTTTGGGAGGCTGAGACAGGTGGATCACCTGAGATCAGGAGTTTGAGACCAGCCTGGCCAACATAGTGAAACTCCTTCTCTACAAAAAATACAAAAAATTAGCTGGCTATGGTGGCAGGCGCCTGTAATCCCAGCTACTAGGGAGGCTGAGGCAGGAGAATCACTTGAACCCGGGAGGCAAAGTTTGCGGAGAGCTGAGATCGTGCCATTGCACTCCAGCCTGGGCAACAAGAGCAAAACTCCATCTTAAAAATTATATATACAAAAAATTAGCCGGGTGCCTAGATCTTGATTTCTAAATTGTATTCTCCAATAAAAGAAACCAAAAACCCTTATAGCTACTCTGGAAGCTGAGGCAGGAGGCAGAGGTTGCGGCGAGTCAAGATCTCACCACTACACTCCAGCCTAGGCTATAGAGCGAGATTTCCTCTCAAAAAAAAAAAAAAAGAAAGAAAGAAAGAAAGAAAGAAAAGAAAGAGTACAAATGGCCAACAAATGCATGGGAACACGGTCTACCTCATTTGAAACCAGAGAAGCCAATTAAGATGGCAATAACACAATAATGAGCAGTTTTAGACAATTTAAAATGTGCATAATCAGCAATTCTGATTCTAGAAATGTATAAAAAATCATTGAATCAATGTGTCAAGATAAATGTGTTAGGGTATTTTTGAATCACTGATTCGAACAGACGTTTATTAGCATGGGGTTGCTTAATAAGTTATAAAGTATATATAGGCTGAAATGTTTGCCTCTTTGTTTCCTCCCTGTTTCACCAAAACCCACGTGGTCTTGGCCTCATCACAGCCTCTGGCACCCCCGACTATCATGGCCAAACGCTGGACATCCCTGTTGTGGGGGTTGCAAACAACCCAGGAACGGGTACCAAGAATGTGGGGGAGGGTGGGGAGGCACTGAACCAGCAGCTTCCCAAAAGGAGTGATGTGCTTCCCGAGGTCTATTCATAGAAGGCTACTCCAGAACAGTCTTCTGTGGATCCTGGCTGTTCTGGTGTCTGAAGAGGGTATGGTACACCTCACTGGGTCTGGCTGAATTCCTGAATTACAGGCAATGAGGTTAAAAAAAGAAAAAAGAAAAAAAGGGAAAAAAATTCTGCCCAGCATCTGAGATGGACGCTGCTGTTTGGGGAAGCCAGCACCAATTCTCCCTTTCCCTGGCAATAATGTCAGTGTTCCTTTGGACAAGCACTGTTTCACACTTCCAGCCCCTGAAGTTCAGGTGAGGCTGGCACTACTCCTTGGTCCTAGACGTCACTACTTCCAAGTCAATCCCCGGGACTTCTGCTAGCATTACCAAGACTTCGTCCACTTAAGCCCTCCAAGGAGATGTGGGCAGGGTACAAGCGAAAGTGCAGGAATCCTGTGTTAGCAGTGGCCGAACTTAGGCCAGGCCAGACAAGGAGAGGGAAGGGATTCTGGGCCCTGGAAGGAGAGTCATATAGAGGAGCCTACCCTGTTGAATGGATGGAGATGACAATTTCCAAGGTTTCTTGAGGCAAAAAGACCAAGATAAGGCTGGGACTGAGGGGAGATCCATGCAGCAGGAGCCAGGTGGTAAAGACAGAGGGACAGAGAAGGCTAGTACGGATTTTATTCTAAATGGCCTTTACATAAAAGCCACCACAGAATAGTTTTATTTATTTATTTTATTTTTATTAATCTTCCTCTGAACACAGAACACATACTTTTACTGTTTTTTGTTGTTAATGGTGGTTTTTTGTTTTTTTTTTTTTCTCTTTAGAGACAGGGTCTTACTCTATCACTCAGGCTTCAGTGCAGTGGCAGGATTGTAGCTCACTGCTGCCTCTAACTCCTGGACTCAAGCAATCCTCTAGGCATGGGCCAGCACATCCAGCCTAGAGTTTTGTTTGTTTCTTTGTTTTCTAAGTTTAAGTTATTTATTTAAGCCATCTCCTGCCACAAGCAAAGGGATGGAAGATCAGCATGCCAGTCATCATTTGACACAGGTAAAGAAGGTGAGCCTAAGGTCCCATATTTTTTTCTGGTCTGTGTGCTGAGTAATGGTCCAAACCACTGCTGTGGTCCCTGGTGCGTGGGTATCAGTCCAGATTCTCTATTCATCTTCGCAGCCAGTTGGAAGTGGATTCACATGAGGGCTGTGAAATAGAGTATGGCTACTATCTCCCCAGGGAGACGGTTTGGTCCTGATATGGAGATGGGGGTAGGGGCTGAACTTGGGTTTCTTGTGTTCTCCATGGTGTGACTTCAGGAACACATTCAACATGCTGACTGCCACCCCAGGGAGCGTGAGGAAGAAGGTGAGGGCCTTCCACATGCTAGCCTTTCCCTGTCTGCCATGGGCGCCACTGGACATAAACCACCCCAGCTGTGGGCGAGACCGACCCAGCAGCCGAGAAATCCATGATGCAGCAGCTACCACCATTTTCGCCCTGGACCCCAGCCTAGAGTTTTAATTAGAAGAAGTCAGTAGTCTGATTTGTGTTTTTGGAGGATCACTTTGGATCCAGGGTGGAGAAATGTATTGGATATGGGGACAAAGTCAGAAGTAGAAAAAGCCCTTAGGAAGAAGAGATAGTGTTCTTGAGGAAGGGGGTAGTGGAGAGGGACAAAGTGGCAAGAGTTAGGTGCTAAGATACAAGACAAAGGGCCAGGAGGAGTGCGGTGAAAAGCTGGATAGCTTGGGCTACTGAGCTTCTCTGAGCCTCAGTTTCCTCTTCCATAAAAATAATATCCACTTCATGAGGGTAGGTTAGACAAGGGTAGTAGCTGAGAGGTAGTAGCTGTGTGATCTTATGAGAGACTGTTAATGATAGCCTTTGTTATGTTTGAACCAACAGAACTCTCCCCACACTAGGATACTTATTCTAGCTTCCTTGGGGGTGGGGGGAAGGTACCATGGAGAGAGCAAGGCTTTTGTCCAAAGTCCTACTAGTAAATGTGGAGCCAGGATTTCTCTGTCGCGTTCCCCTAACTTTTCTGCGTCTAAAACTGGGATAACAATAATACTGACGCTTACCTGTGTGGTTGGTAGTACACAGAAAGGGGTCTGGCACATAGCAGGTACTTATTAAATTATTAAAATTATTATTATTATATTCTTTGTGTTTTCCTGAATTTTTACATGGAGTGAGCATCATTTGGACAAATCCTTTGGATTAAAAAAATACTAAGTGAGGGGGAAAAAACTGCGGCTGCCAGTCTCAGCAGGGGCTTGGGGCGTGACCAGGGGGCGTGGTCTACGGGGGCAGGGCCACGACTCGAGGGTTGGGCTGTGGGGGCGGGGCCAGGGCAAGAGACTTGAGGATTGGGGCGGGGCCCGAGTTGGTGACGCATGCCCAGTGAGGTCCTCTTGGCTGCCGCCGCCGCCGGGGCCACCGCCCACTCGGGGCTGGCCAGCTGCGGGCGGCCGGGGCACAGAGAAGGGCCCGGCTGGGCGAGCGCACGGCCATGGCCCCGTGGCTGCAGCTCTGCTCCGTCTTCTTCACAGTCAACGCCTGCCTCAACGGCTCGCAACTGGCTGTGGCCGCTGGCGGGTCGGGCCGCGCGCGGGGCGCCGACACCTGTGGCTGGAGGGTAAGGCGAGGGCGGCGGGTATCTTGCTGTCGCCAACTCGCGGAGGACGCAGCGCGCACAGGTGCTCGCGGGGAGGCGAGCCCGCGCCAGCCTGTCTGCTCTCCGTGGCTTTCGCGGCCGGCCGGGGTCCCGCTCCTCCCGCGCATCTTCCTGCTTTGCTTTCCCTCCCGGGGCGCGCGTCCTCTGGCCCCCGCCGGGATGAAAGCGTCTGCCGGACCCCGGCTTTGTGTTGCTAATGAGGTGCGGCCGCCGGCCAGGGTCCCTTTCTGAGGGCAGGCGTGAGGGGCGGCGGGGGCTGGGCAGGGCGCCCCACCCTTTGTTCTTCGCCCGGGACCTTCTTAGCCCCTGGGCTGCGTGTCCCGGGCTGGCATCCTCCAAGCCATCCCGACGGGGGAGCGCGCTTTGGAGAGGGAAGGGGGTCTTCTCCCAGACTTCCAGTCCACAGCTCTGCCAAGGCCCGGGCGGCGGGAGAAGGGACCTGGAGCGCCGGGGAGGGATGCGCCGCGCTCTTCTGGTAGCTTTGTTCCTCCTAGCCTGGGGCCGTCACCCCACTCCTAGCCCTCCTCAGAGTCCGGGACCTCCTGAGAAACTTTGCCACCCGGTTCAGTCCTTCGTCTTGTGAAGGTCTCGCGGCTGTTGCCTTCCTTCCCCTCTTCGAGTTGCGGATATTTTTCCGCCAAAGGGCCGTGTGAGTGTCACCTGGGTCAGGTGCCCAAGGCGAGACTGGAGAGGTGCCCAAACTTTGGCCGTGTGCTTGGAGCCGTCTCTCTGGAACCAAGCGCTCCTTCGACACTGTCTCGGCCGTGTGCGCGGGTCACTGCCATCCCCTTCCCGGCTCCTTACCTGGGCTTCTGGGGATTACATCCGTCTGCCCCGAGCTTCCCACAGAGGCAGCATGGGCCTCTCAGGGTACTCACGGCCTTAAGCCTTGTGAAGAAAACGCAGGCTTTGCACTCAGGCAGCAGTGACATGATCTTGGCTCTGCTCCTGGGGAGCCTTGAGCCTCAATTTCTTCATGTGAAAAACGGGATGAAATGAGAATTTCCTTAGTATTGCTGGGCTGAAGGATAGGTATGGAGTGGTTTGCTTAGGCCAACGTTGACTCACCCCTCTTCTGGGTGGCTCCAAACAGCCTCAGCACGGCCAAAACCTAGGACGTAACAACGCGCTTAGGGACCGGATTGGTGCCTCCAAGCTCACTTGCACCACAGTCCGAGAAATGTGGTGCAGAAAACCAGGTGTGAGCCAGGCAGCTGGGCTGTCTTCAGACTGAATAGCTAAGCTATGGAGACAGCTACGACCCCCGTCCTCCCTGCCTCACATCCCACGCCCTTGGACTCTATATTTCCTTCCCAGTTGAGTAAAGCATCACATTTTCTTACTCTTCCATTTTAGTAAAACATCACTGCTCTTGTTTTATTGTTTCAAAACAGTTTTAGTAGCTAGCAAGTTTCCTCAAAGCTGTCTCGTGTTGACTTACAGATCCTACCAGAATTTTGGATTTAGACTTTTGCGGGCTTTTGAGTGACTACAGTAGCATCATAGGCGTTTTATTCTGAGTGTTCGTGTGATGGCATAGGTAAAGCAGTCCAATTTGCTGTTTTCCTGCAGTTGCCAAGGTGGCTTCATATGCCAGTGTACAAAACTGGTGAAGTTTTAATGCTGTGGGGTATGATAGTGCCCTGACAGAGCCAGGCTGATGATTTTATTCTAACTGTGGGAGTGTGTTCTCCTCTCCCAAACCTGCACCCTCACAGAATGATGGGTCTGTCCCAGTCACCTAACACTCATGCTGACCTTTTCCCCACCACAACCCCTAGATTGGGGGTAACTTTCTCAACTGCTCCTGCCTTGGCCCCACCAATCCTTTCCTTGGGTCATCTTTATTCCCTTCCTGTATGATCGTAGAGGCCCCTGGGCCATGTCCCAGATTCCAGGCTCATCCAGGCTGTTACATGGTTCCTTCTCCTGGATTTGTTGCTTGGTGCATTTCACGGACCCAGTTTACCCACATGCTTTGCATTCCCATCCTTTTCAGCCTCACCCTTTGCCCCTTGTACCCTGCTCCTAACTCAGGATGGATGCCCTCTGTGCTTTGAAGGCATGCTTTTCCCACCTCCTAGGATGCCTTTTCATCCCTGAGAATTCCTTGCCTAGCTTAAGACTCAGTTCAGGTGGTGCCCCTCAGGGCACTACTGATTGCCATGCCCTTTGCTTTGCCTTCTCATGCAGGTCCTTGCACTTTGGCCTCATCAGACCACATTTTCAATATTTGTTCACTTCTGTGTCTTCAGACTAGTTTCTTTAGCCAGGTACTGAACCTCATTTTTGTGGTCTCAGAGCCCTGTAAATCTTGGCTGAACCAAATTAGACCTTGCTGCCTTCCTGCTAAATGCTGTATTTCCTGATAGATTTTAAGAAGTAGAGGCAAAGATCAGAGCCTCAGGTTCCATTGTCTTTGCAGCAGGTCTTTGCACATGCTGTTCCTGCCTATGTTCCTTCACTTTACACCTCCGCACCTTCTCTAGCATCACTTCTGCAGAAAACTCTCCCTGTTCACACCTCCCTGAGTCATGTCTTCCAGAAGCTGCTCTGTCAAGGAGGCAGCCAAAAAGTACTGGTACACAGTGACTAGAGTATTTGATTCATGTTTGAGTCGCCTACCAAACGATAGGTACGCAATCCATAGAGGTTGGCTTCAACTCTAAGGTTGCTTACAGTTGGGCTATAGGAACATAGAAGAATAAGGGTCAAGTATATGTGATGCAAATCAGAGGAGGCTTCCTGTGGATCTGGGCCATACTCAGAACCTAAGAGGAGGCAGCAAGGTGCAGTACCAAGCCCTGAGAGACCGGATTTGGGTACTGGAGCAGAGCTGAGCAAAAGATCCCCTTGATCTCCAGGGAACATTTGTTCCAGGAACCCTTGCCCCTGCAGGAATGTGTATTTTCACAGGACTTGCAAGGTGACTGCAGCCAGCCAATCCTCTGCAGCCCTGTTAACAGACCCTTCGGGGGCTGCTCCCAGAGGAGCCAGGAGCTGGTCTGGTTTAAGTGGTCAGGTTTCACAACCTCCCTATTATTAGTTGGGCAATTAAGAGGCTGATACCATCTTGAACACAGGTCAGTGTTCGTGGGCACACTTCCTCAACTACTTAAAAAAAATTCTTTTAGGGTCTTTGCCCGATAAGATTGCTCCTTGAGTAATAAATACTGTGTTCCCAGAGAAGCAATAACTTGTAAAACCTCCAGAGGGACCCGTATCTTCATTTACACTGGCTCTTGTCTTAGAGAGTGGAATGGTTTTGTTACTGGAAACAAGTTTTGTTCGTAACTTTAATTGTGTCAGTCACTTGTACTGAAGTTTTGCCGCCCCTCGTCTTGCTGGTCTAGAAGCTTATTTATGGAACAAGAAGTTAGGAATCTACTCCCACAGGTTTTTATTTAGTGTCTTCTCCTGCAGTAGGGGCGGAGGGAACATTTCTTGCCTCCTTACCTAAATGGAGTACACCTTGTCTGGCCTGTTATCCCTGAAACACAATTCCTACTGCCCCTGCAAAAAAACCCTACTCCTTCAGGAATTTGGGAAGCCAGGATGCCAGCATCCTGGCTTCTTTACAATGAAATACAAGTTTCCCATTTAAGGCAAATACTTCATCTCAAAAGGTAGGAAGGAATAGGGTGGTACTTGGAAAAGAGAAGTTCCAGCTGGTTAAAATTTAGGTTCCTGATAAAAGTCCAATCCAAGAATTATCCTTGGCTGTGGGCCCAGGCATGTTTATTTGATTCTGAATTGGATGCATTTTCATTCACTTGCAGCTCATGGCCCCCAAGCCCACATCTGGTCTGCCTATCCTATGGCCATATCATCCATGTTACAGATGCTCTTGTGTCTGTTACAGAATTCTTGGTTAAAAAATTACTCAGTCCTGGTTGATACATTTTTTAGAGAGACGTTTTTATAAGCAGTGCAAAGCTTTCTTCCAGCCTCTTTTGCCTAGTTAATTGGGAACTCTCCTGGCCCATGTCCATCTTTCTTAAGCAGCCCTCTCTTCTCTCCCCACCCCAACCCATCTGCCCAGCCCCAAGCCCCTGCAGTGCCTGGGGCATTCTGCTGGTTATTAACTTGGACGTACAGCTCGGTGACCAG